CAGAATATACCACAAGAAATTTAAATTTTTAGAGGTTTATAGTTTTTGAGTGATCGAAACTGATGATGTATCTCTTCGTATACTACCTTTAATTGTGTACATTCTTTTTATACAGCCACCGATAGTCTCTGCGATCTATAATATTTTTAAAAATTACGCTGCTTCGATCGCAAGCCTAACGTCTATATTGTCGGACGGTGGAGTACTAAAGCGATGACGGGAGCATAAAATCGAATGAATTAACTAAACGTATGAATTTCGTTTCGTAGTTTTCGTAGCGAACACTTTTTTTCGATTTACGATTCGACATTTACGATTCGCTATTCCTAGTTGTAGGTGGACCATTGGACAAAACAGCTGCTCCTTTTATTGCTGCCGCCTCCACCGCCCCCTAGCGTTAAAAATATGTCGGAAAAAAGCAACAAGCTGCTACTTACGACATAGCGTTACGTTTTAGCAACACAGGGATGAAAGCGTTAGCTATCCATTGTGTGATGCTAGTAGCCGTTGTCGTTTGCTCCGTGGATGGCCGCTTCCGACGCGGACCAGTGCTAAATGGTGTTGACGACATTTTGAATCGGCGCTGTACCAGCCGCGACGCTAGATAACAACGGCAGGTCTTCGCGAGCTGAAATTCCAGAGGCCAAATTTTAAAAATAACGCGCGCTCATCCTACGGCGTGGAAGGTAATTGCGGAAAGAGGCGCTGAGAGAAATTTAGACAATGAAAAGGGTAATTTAAAAAAGGTTGAATTTATATTAATATGGTGAAGAGGGCAGCTGAGCGAAGGAAGAAGCCCTTTCTTAGAAAAGAAGACGCATAGTGAAGAAGTTATCTGGATTGAGTATAGCTAGATAGCGGGAAAGAAGACACTTAAAAAATCCGTTGCAATAGATTTCACTGTACTCAAAACTTTGGCAGGAAGCCAACACCTGTCTTTATTGGACACGTTAGTCTACAGGTTACCCTTTTACCACAGGTCTACTAAGGAACATTCAACTGACTACGATAGGTGTCACACATAAACGATACACTCTAACATGGAATAACGTTATTAACGGAAGAATCCACTTCTTTAGCTTTGTATCATCGCCAATATACGTGTTTTCTGGAGTTTGTGGTTTAATTGAGGTCGCATATGTTTAGTTCGACATATATTGGTAAAGCGTTGTGGGCCACGAGAGTAGCGGTGTTTTTTCGATCACCGCAGCCAGCTTTTAGGGTAATATGGAATTTTTTGAAAAGTATTTACCACACGTTTTAGCTACTAAGAGCACCAATGTTGAGGATGGAAAGCGTCGATGCTACGCTACTCCAACTTGAAAACGCATTCAAGTAGAGATTTTAAAATCTTTGTGTGCTTGCTTATCACGGTATTTTAGTTGGTGGGGTGAGGAGCTTGGCATGAAGACTTTTGTGTATTCACTAGTAGATTAGGCTATTAAGACGGGCGGTTGGATAGTTATAGAGAACTATAATGTACAACATTGCACTCGGTGAGGGAAAAACGACCCATGGAACTTCAACCAGTTTACACAGTTGCGTCGTATAAACTTCCGCGTGCTTAATTTTCGGCGTGGGATGTCATCTGCTCTCCTCGATACTGCATGCAGTCGACCTAATGCTTTCTTCGGTAACATGAATCTTCCCTCTTCAAGAAGAATATGAAATATTTGTATGGTCTATAATTTTGTAATTGAGTTTTCAGTCAGATTGTTTAAACTGTACAATCTGGATATTGTGATAGCACATTTTATAGAACGCCCGATTGACTTCGAATCTCCAAAGGGTGAAAGACTGGAAATAGAAAAATTTGAGAGACCTGATATGAATTAATGACCGCTATAATATAGACGGAAAAGAAATTCTTAAGGAAGAGTTCTTTTTTCGGCTAAGTAAGCCTTTAGAGGGAGGCATCTTTAGCATGCAAACCATTTCGAAATCATTCTCATTTTCTGGCCTTAGTGGTCATGTTTTCCGTACACTATTTGTAAGAGGATGGGGTAGTTGAAACAAAAAATTGTCTTAAAAATAAGCGATCTAAGCCCTCGCTAAAACATCGTTATGCGGAACGCATATAAATATGACTCCTAGTCGATACCTTCGTTTGACGTTAGAAATGAAGTCGTCAATTTCCTTAAATGTTTTAACTACTATGTTTAACGACTACGGATTAAAGCATCATATTGGACGTTAAAAGGAGCTTAGCTCTTCTCCTTTCCAAAGTATAGGGCTCTAAAGAGCGACTTGATCTTTTTTACGCCAATGCACGGATGAAAAAGGATCTCAGCTTCTGAGTGCCGCATAATTTCATAAGGTGTTTTGGTACGCTATGGTACCTACGTGACCTGTTTGGTTGGCTAATGATAGGGCCACAGTGTTAATTATAACACTAAGGCAAAGTAACTGTTTGCATATGCGAGAAGATATCAACTGATAATTTTGTCTGAAAGAGGATTATAATGTTGGTGTGGGTCCGAGTTTACAATATTGTGCGCTATGCCTCGCCTTGATACCGCCTTTAGGTATACCGTAAGATGTCCGGCTTCCAGCACGAGACGAAGTGTGTCTATGCGCGAGTTCGAACTCGAGTTCGAGAACCTAGATCTCCACATGTTTCTAGGATTAGAACGCGAATACATTACCCGCCAAACTGTTAGAGAACTAAAGAAACACGCCATCTTGCTACTAAGAAATGTGCTCATACAGATACTCTAAGTAACGAGTGATGTTGCGAAAACCTCTTAGAGTAAAAACGACTGAAATTTTGAATATCAAACTTAGCCGCTTAAGAATCAAATTTATTTTATGCCGCTAATAATTTGTTTACAAAACTAGACCTACATAAAGATAATACCGCTTTCGTGATGATGTATCGTTTCAAGTAAGAATGGTCTTATTAAAAGGCGATGCGATCTAATCACAGTAGTGATGAATACTAACCCTACAAGCTAAACAGAAATGCGTAAGTAGATAAGAACGAACAACGTAATTCTACGGGCCCCCTAGATGTACATATAGATGTACGTTACCATTTACGTTACTCAAGTCATTAGTTGTTCCAGTTAAGACCGAACAGAGATAGCGAAATTCGGAAACGTTGTCCGTCTTATTCGCTATTTTGCTTCAAAGATATAGAGCCCTTTGGTCTCACGTCGCTTGATTGTGTTAGCAGTCGCATCGAGCATAACTTAGAGATATTTCTCGAGACCAACTTGATAGTTACTGCATAACTTTTTTTCGGCGTTTCACAAAAATATTTTAAATCTAATGAGATCGAACAAATAGAATTTGCTTCAGTAATGCTGGAAGTTATATATAAAGCTTCCAGTTAATTCAATGTACTCAGTTTGGTGCGTGTTTATTGCGGAGCACATCTTGTTTGATACGTTGTCCTCATACCTGCCGGAGCCTTCTCTTAGTTACATGGCAAATATATTGCGTCACGTAACTTCAGATCGCAGGGCAGAAAAAACATTGTACTTGACAACTTCAGGCACATTTTTTTTTTGTTTGAGTTTGAGTTCAGTTTGCAGAGAGGGGAAGGGCACATTCCAAAAACCAGTGGAAAAATCTATCTGTTGAATTTATACTGATAATACATACGCTTGCTGTTGTTACTATTCGTTTTCTCGCAAACCTTTTCTTGCTAATGAACACGGCTCAATTCAGCAAACGTTCAAGAAATGGAATAGAGAAAATTAAGATACAGGACGTTTTCCATAGAATTTGACAACGATTTGCTGGTAGCTAACAACAACAATAATTCGTTGATGGTGAAATAGTGCCTATTTTAGCCAGTAAAGGTCGAACGTTTATGATCCTATTAACCCATTTATTTATAAGTCACATTTTTATAAAGCTAAAACGGTTTGCACTTACGGGAATATAGCCATGCATAAAAGGAGAGTCCAATCCAGAGGGAATACTACCTCAATTTATTGGAAGATCTGCAGGTGATTCCGGTTTGTAAATTACGCGAATTCAACCCAAGCTAAGAGGGGTCTCTTCCGTATAGCCATGAAACAGTGTCACACCATGGAAAAAGGAAAGCATGGAGAAAGCCATTCGAGCCCTCACTTCCGATAACTTGGTGTCTAGAAAAGGTGCATCTTTGTTTATGAATGACGGTGCGTCTACTGGCTGGCTCCACAGTTGAGCATGAGAGATCCATTTGGAAAATAAACAGAGCAAAACGTGGCAATAGTAAGAGGGTGAGAGGTATTTCAGGTGCGAAGGAAATTTACGCGGAAGCTACTCAGAAGTGTTTCCCTGGCCAGAATGTCGTTCTGTTTCCCAAAAATGCGAACTTCGCTACCGAAACGTGCTTCATTTATAAGTAACCGCTTACGTACCTTACGTACTTTACGTACAAAGGTTAGGAAGTTCGCTTGCTGCTGCTGTCCCACACACACAGGATCCACACAAATGTAAAAAATATATATAAAAAACGTAGCTGAAATAGACCGCGTCTCTATATAGTCGCGACAGATTAACCTTTCTTTGGATACACGATAAAGAATGAGTCGAGTCGCACGGCTCATTTGAGATACTTTTTTTGCTTGAAAAGTTAATTTTTTTTTAATTTATAAATATATATATTTTTATTTTTTACTTATATATATATATGTTTCGAAAAAAATAAACACTCAACAATACAGATATTTTTTTTTCGAGAACTGCTTTCGTGATCTTCCATTTTTTTTCTGAGTACTTGACCTTAATTCGAAACGCTTCTAGATAACGTGCGGAGCATCAGCTGGTGAACATTCAAATTGTCAATGAATCACCCCGTTTCATTAAACTTTAAACGTTTGTATAAAGAAAAGTAGCTAATAGTAGCAGTTATTATCTGAACGCATATTTGAGTAACGCAGTGTAGTTATTGCGTAAAAGAAACTTTTCAGTAGACTTAGTTACGGGATGCGTTTGAAAACAGTTCCTGTATCAAACGGCACGAATAGGAAAAAAACACTCGAAAGCAACGTACTCAACGTCATTTTATTGCAGCTATTCTCTCAACGTAGCCTTGACACGCTTACCATGCGAAACTGTTTGCCCACCGTCCACGTAAATTGTTCTTTCTACTTTTATCAATTTGGCACTAATTTCAAAAATTCACTCTACCGCCAATTACTCTGTTATTATGATTATCTTCTTTTTTAAAATACCGTCTTTGCTAAAGGACTGTCTTGCGATTAGTTCGTACCACTGACCATGACGTCAATCTCCTTGGAATGGAAGGACACCCAGCGTATACGGGACGTGACTTTTCGTGATTGCTAACCCAGTTCGATTGACGACGCCTTCATTCGCATTCATCCCACCATACCGCTAGGCTTCTCTCGCTTATCCTTTCGACTTTTTTTTTTCTTCGAATGCTGCCAACAAGGAAAATTGAAATTGCTGCATATTATTGCGCTACATTTAGTGCAGTAGTGTTGGCGCTCATCCATATAGAATGGAATCCAAAAGGCCAACAACTTACCACAAAGAAGGAACTTGCTTCATGTCAAGTAAGCTCACAATATAATGAGTGTGATTTCTAGGAGGTTATCTTGCTTGTTTCCAGCTGTTTCGCGACAAGTGTCTCTAGTCCCGTGTTAAGTAAACTCTTGTTATGTTACGAAATGAATCTAACAAAAACATTTTTCTTAATTACCTGAATCTCGGCTCCAGACTCAGCTGGGACGAGCAGCTGATTCAGTACAGGATTCTGTTCAAGTTCCCTAGGCGTAAAGTCAAAGAGGTTGGGTAGCGGTCGCCCATCTGGCTGCCTCGCTCCCACACGCCGAAGGTCATCAAACAATGGCTCGGCTAATGCCTCCCAGCAACGAATGCGGCAGTCGGGCGTGTACTGTATCATTTTCGTTAGCAGGTGTATCGCTTTCGGCGTTGGTTTGTTCTGAGTAAACGTCCGTCCATGCAACAGTAAAAAAGCCCGCTTTTAAATTATTTATTACTTATGTAGACTAGGTACGTCGATGCAGGCAGTGTGTAGTTACTGGGGCTACCTAAAATGTCTTATGAGGATCACCGTCAACAACTAGACGTATAGCCCACCTTTAGAACTTTACTTAACGACATCGGTTCGCGTTTCTTCAGCATTTTAGGAAATCTTGGATGAAGTTTATCCATTTGTTCTGCTGTCGGCGTCCCGAGTACGCGGATGATTTCAGTTAGCTGATCTATGCTCGAGTCGCCAAGAAATAGTGGCTTGAGAAGGTACAGTTCAGCGAATACACAGCCCACCGCCCAAGTATCCACTGACACGTCGTAGTTTGTGTTACCCAAGATTAATTCAGGCGCTCGATAGAAGCGGGAACAGATGTACGCGACGTTCGGTTCACCCTCATTCAGCATTTTTGCTGAACCGAAGTCGCACAGCTTCAACAACGACGTCGATGTCTCAATGAGAATGTTTTGCGGTTTAATGTCTCTGAAAAAATGAAGGGGCGCATACACAGTTCCTGAATGGGTTGTCGCCTATATGGAGTACAGGCTTATTATGCCCTACAATGGTTACACTTTGATACTCTACTCAATTTTCTCCCACTACTAATAAAGTTTTCCTCCTAGAAACAACAAAATACCTGTGGGCTATTTTCTTCGAATGCATATACGCGGTGCCGCGCAACAACTGGTAGAGGTAGAGCTGAATCATGAAGGGATGGATTTCATCCCCTGTTCGTCGGTACTTATATAAAAGTGCTGCTAAATTGTCAGACATGAATTCCATAACGAGGTTAATGCGCAGGTCAGCGGTTCCTTCGTCTATTTGTTCTGAAAAGTAGTAAAATAGACGACAGCAATTGCAGTGGTCCAATTCTTTCATAATGGAGATTTCCCGGTTTTTGTATCTGAAATATGGATTGCAATGTGGAGACCTTTACTCATGCAACCAGAAGACGTGAGCACGGGTCTTTATAAATGTTTATAAATAAATCGTCTTTTATATAAAAATCTTTATCACGAAACTGGTTGGCTATTTATTCAATCATAATTTATAATGTTATATCCATTTTATTTGAATTTTTGACCTTGCTTCCGAAACAGTAACATGTTAGTAGATATTTATAAGTGCGGTAAATTATCAAATACTTAGTATAACATGGTACGTTTGACCTAATCGTTTCGGCATATTCTAAATAGAAATCACAAATACGCTAGGTAAGAGGAGTAAACGTCGTTGATTTGTTGTTTATCATGAAATACCGTAATCAAATGACTTGAATCTCTTCTAAACGAATTTGTACGAATGTCTAGGAAACGTACATTCTAGGTGTCTATCTATGTGGCACCTTGGGTCATGCTCGAGACACTTGAGAGCAAATGTTGAGCCCTCAAAAGTAATCATCTTTCTCACAGTTCCGAATGTCCCTTTACCAACATCAGCAATTTCTTTGTACGTCATTTTCACTTTGGCACCATCATTTGCTTTCCGCATTATAACCAGGTTCCATTCTTCACCATTTCTCTTCTCTCGACTCACTTCAACGGGAGTACATTCAAACTCGCTCACTCCTTGTCGATGAACATTACGGGATTCTCGCATACCTTCGTGCGAGCTCCCAGCCCGATTCAATGCTAATTCACAAAAACACATTCAGTATTTGCAATGATCTGCTCAAACGAAAACATCTGTGAAGCGCGATAAGGTAACAGAAGTTTGGGTTTCTTTAGACGCTTGTACCATTCGTAGTGTTTCTACACCTATGATACAGTACGACATAGATAACGTAACAAGGAACTAAATAAACGGTGGCCTTCATCAATGAGCCTTGTCGGGGCGGTCGTACGGTAGGCGATGTGAAAGGACTCTAAAACGGAGTAACGGGTACCGGAGCTAACTTGTGGGGGCGTTTATTTCAATACAGAATCACCGTACATGCCTTGTGATTACTATCACTTACTAAATAGTCTATAATTATTACGTTTACAGGCTATCTAGCAACATCAGGTAGTTTAATTCTGGATGGACATAAACTCCGAAAGAACAGGGTGATATCTCGTTCCGAGAAAATCTGCCTTCTTAATCTCCCTTGACAATAATTATGTAACTCTTCGACCGTTCGTTCGTCGTTTGCTTTACCTGCCATTACTATGCACGTACTAATTACCCTGAGGGTAAATACGAATATTCAATCGCTCATATATTCGTACGTAGAAAACGCACCGTTTACACGATGGAGTAGCAATAACGCTTCGTTTATGCAGCGGTATGAAAGTTGGAAATAGTAACATCGACTATTACTATAGCTGGTGAGAGATTAGATCGTGGTATTTTACTTTATCCAGAATACTTCCGCAAAACGCTTGATCAGCCTGAAGTCCAGCAACTAAACGATCGGTCTAATAAATTATTAACGTTAAGAGTCGCGTTTTGAACAGGTTTTTTCTGGTGTAAAACACAATTTTTTTTTACAGAGTCGGCACCGATCAGGGCGCTGTTAGCAAGCAACACAGTGGGATGATATTTCATCTTGCTTCCAACATGCGTATCTCTAGTCGCAACAGGAAATACGAATGTGTACTTTTTTTTTTATTACAAATACATTTTGATAACTGTTTCTAGGTTGTTACAGTGGCTTCTAAGAAGCTATATCGACCAAAACAGATCCACATAGGCTATATGTGTTACGAAATGCTTACGCCTCCAATCGAAAGTTTCAGATACGCTATGACGATTCTAATCGTTATCGTGTTTCTTAAACGTGTACAAGAAACACCATCGTCGGTCTATTTTTTGGCCAATTTTTTTGTTGCTGAGAACATTGTTATACAACGATACGATGCTCAAAAGACCAGCCGGCTTCAACCATATAATAGCGGATCACGTGGCTTGCAATTTTCGAAGACCATCCAAGTTATAGAAAACCATAAAATGAGATATACTCTCCGTATAATTAGCGTCTACGTTTAGATCACATGTTTAATACAGTGTAATTAAAAAATCAGTTAGGTTTTATCATGATTCCCTAAATGAGATTAACGTACCTCAGTGCTTCGGATAAATGCAGGATTTTACCTGATTTCATCGGTTCTGCAGACTATCGACGTTATGGGCATGTCTCGTGTGAAAGAAAAAAAATCAGTATCATACTACAAAAGCGAAATCCGCAGTGCAAGGGAACTTGTAGTTGTAGAATAGGTCGATCACGATTTTAGCGTTTAACATTTGGGGAACAATATTTAGCGGCTGCCTAAAACGACAGCACCAGAATTTTTTCAACTTTGCAGGTCCTTTCTTCACATTTACATATACCTGTAAAGTATAAATTGCGAAAATTCAAGCTTATGCTCTATGTGTATAAACACAAGCAAGCAAGCAAGCAAAAATACTCATGACTATTGAACGACAGCCGCCGGTAAACATTCTATGACTAGACAAAATTTATCTCGATTTAGGCGTAAATGAGGTAATCGTAACGTTGCGATGCCATCTTCCAGCTTTTCCAATCAATACAACTTTATTCGTTGTAGTAATCCATAGTACAAATCCATAGTAAAGTCATGGTCTGTCCCTGGTCGATTACTGGAAAATGGGTTCGTCCATAGGTCCAAACTTGCCTTGCCCCATTCGTGCAATTTTGTGTCAGTGCTTCAAAACCAACAAAACTTATATCCAGTCGTTACGTTCAGTTATTTGGTAGCTTTCCTTTTTTTTTTGGTAGCTTTTGGTAGCACTTGAATACCGATCTTCGTACGCACAGTCAGTGTGCCATATCTCGTGTGAAGCTCATACAACTCGCACCATACCATAAGAAACTAACGTTATGCATGGATAAAAAGAGACGGCAAGAGAACATAAGACGGCCTATAGTTTCGAGCTACCTTCGCTGCTAATGTGGTTAAAACAATGGGTCTTTTAGTATAAACTGTGTATTACATTAACGTACTTTTCACGGTTAGCTGTCTCTCTCAAACAAGCATTTCTTTGAAATATGACTAAAAACCTTATGAAAAGAAAGTTATGAAGCATGCAAGCATTTGCAAGCTAATATAAGGTGAACACTTGGTTCCTGTTGAATAGAATAAGGAAGAAGGTTCTCGAAAAACTTTTCGAGCTCATATCTTGGTTGCGAGACTTAATACCAGAATAGCCCGTTCAACAAGATCACCTTTATTTTAACACAATCCTCTATAAGTTACATGAAATCTCCAAACGCTAATAGGCTATTCCAGTTGTGCGATCCCAGTTAATGACGATAGACATGTCGTACTTGCGAACTGTAAGTACGGTATGTCTGTCGTCAAGTAATAAGGTCCTGTAGTAGAGTAGAATAAAGGGAACGACCATTTCCCTCTCCTTTCTGCGCTTGACCCCAACCCAATAGGACTCAAAGAAACGACAGTGCCAAACTAATTCTCTACAACTACTAGCACGGTTGTCTTCGTCGGGTAACGCCGGGGGGGGGGAGGGGGAGGGGCAACCTAGCAACAAGCGGAAACCAATTTTTCGTTGGCAAGGTCGTGTCTTTTCCGTGACAATGTTCATTCTGCCATCTAATTGCTTCTCCGCACGTCTGTTCGTCAGGATGAGACCTAGCTCGAAAAAGCGGTCCTAAGCCAGATAGGATTCATTGTATTATATCTGGCGGTTGCGACTGTTTCCATCTACCAAGCCACTCGCCTATTTTGATGAGTCAGCCTGTTTTTGTGAGATTCGTTTTCGTTTTGTTCAACCGCAGTTCTAATTAGACTCATCTGCTTAATGGGAACATATCATATACGGATAATATTCATGCAAATGCATTAGTCATCGACATGCATAATCCGACATGCAATAATTAACGTTGAAACTATATTCTCTATAGAATACTACAGACGTCGTCGTACCGTCAGATGCGACATGCGGATGTTGTAGGCTAAAAGTTGCCACCCCCCGAGATGCGTAAAGGTCTCGCGTCACGCGGGACCATAGTGCAGCCAGGTTCTTTTGGTAAAGTAAGGGGACAAGGTAAATGCCACATGTACAAATAGGCATATCAATGATTATATTACATAATAGGTTGATGGTGTTTACTGAATGAATAGATTATGCCTTATAGACAAATAGTTTATTTTAAAGGATTTTTGTAATAAATTCCTGCTTTATGTCCGTCGAACTTACGAGCATCATCCCAATAAACTAGCCCATTTATGCCATTGCTAGCATGCTCAAACGACCAAACGCAGCAGATTGTATTCCTTGACAGTAGAGTATCAACATGTTACCGTTGCGTGACCCGCGCTTACCCCTATGTTAAATTTCCTAGTATGTTCGAAGGTTCCTAAGAAGAACCGTATCGGAACTCTCGTCTTGTAACTCTCGCGCAAATATGTAACAGCTTCCACGAATTCCTAACTAGATATGAATACCTCTGATAGGTCCGATGCTTTTTTATTCCTTCGTACAATTAAACAGCACAGCTTTTGAAGTGAACAGACTTCGTGATGGATCTCTGATGGTAATAGTGGTTACTTCATATTTGCATCGCACTTAGATCTCATCGGCTTGTCTATTGCCTTCAACAAAACTGCCTCTAATATCTTTGGCAAAATCATTTGAAGGCAACGTCACCAGAAAGCTCCCGAGTCTGTTCGTCTGAAACCGCCATCAGACGCCTGTCAGTGACCTGCCTCAAATTCAGACCACTCCATACTTCCCTCTCGTTTTTACGCCGGCACGTCACCGCGGCGCTTAGGGCAATCGACCATAGTGCTAATCTTTTAAATTAACAAAATGTAAAACAAATTTAACTATACGTGAGATCCTTTTTCTTTTTATCTACTTACTACTACTTGTCACCGATTCATTTATATGCCAACCTGCTATCTTTAGAACACGTAACTAACACAAGTTTATCAGGGCTAACTGTAGCTCGGTAGTAGTACCTTAAGGCCTAGCTTATTCAAGCAGCCAAGCGCATTTAGTCGCTAGGAACCAAGCGCGCTGTTGGTCGATCAATTCTAGGCTTATGAAGTGCTATCACAATATTGAACCTGGGCGTTTAGTCTACGTGATAAACCAAGCAATTTTTTCTACGAAGGTCGATTGCTATTTCCTATTATTAGTTTTTTATAATTGAGATACTACACATAAGTATACGGTGTTTTCTTTGTTATTTTACTCTGATTAATAATGTATGTCTTTTTGACGACTCCGCACAATTTAAAATAAATGTACACATATGCTGTTCTAAAGAAATGCGATCACGACGGCCTATTAACTAACGCCAGATCTAGGTTCAGGAGACAAGGTTTAACGTTTGCTTTTTCCAAGGTGCACGGATGCAACGCAGAGTAGCTTTGGATTTTTCAAATGGTAGAAGTCTGTACCTGTAGTACATTAATAATCTAGAAGTGTGCCAGTAAAGCTTTCATTGCAGTTGACTCTACGCATGCTGTTTAACAACTATCATGGCTATACGAACACACACAGGATTTAAGGCACATATGTGGTAAAGTTTGCATGCGATCCATCTTTAACGTTTTTATTCGCGGGACAGTTGACACCCGTTCGCGGAAAATTTGCTCTGCTGGATCGGTCGTACGAGCCTAGCGAGCGTTCGTCGACTTTTCCACCTCCTTCTTCACGCCATCGGTGGCTTTCGGGTGGGAAACGGTCTATTTTCTTTTAGGTGCAGCCAAATGAAAATGTCATTTATCACCATACTATCCGACGGTCGCGGGAGGTAGCCCTGAAACCTTCTCTCCTTCAGTATAGAGCTTTTCTGCTGCCGCCGATGCGCTTATTTCGGTATTAATGCTGCTGGCAATAGCAGTATCCATCGTTTGCTTCAATCTTCGCGTGATCCAGTCGTCAGTTAGCCAGCTAGCAGGATATTGATATTAAACAAACTTTAAGCACTTGCGAAGGCTAGTAGAAAGATAGTGGGCTTTCATCTTCTAGGTTCTTTTTCCTTAACCTTACACAGATGATTGACTTTGTGTAGTTTCGGACGACCAGTCACCTGACCCACCGGTCCACGAGCATCTACTGCTAGTAGTTTCTAAAGATGTAATACATTTCAGAGCCGTACTGGATGCAAGGAAAACCGCACATGAATAGCCGTCTTTGGCTCACTCACGTTGTAGGAGTTTGCGAAACGTCGCTACAACTATGGCCACTTCCAGATGGCTATGCCTGGCCAATAAATAGA